GTTGGTGATGACAAGGTTGTGCTCCGCACATTTGGTGAGAAGCAGGATGCCATTCGAGTTGCTGTTTCCAAGATTGAAGCTTGTTACCACATGCAAATTTGCTTTTAAATGTAGATTTGGCTTATGTCTTGTGTTTTCCAGGTAACAAAGTGTGCAACTACATAGTATTTAATACCAAAAAGAAACACAATTATCCAAATTGCTATCTGTTTTATTATCCCACAAAAGAAATTTTCCCAGCGAGACAAGTATTAGGACTGGTGACTTACAGAATAATACATGGTAAGTAATAATAAATATTTGACTGACTGAAGAGCTCATCATTTCTGGGACCGTTTTTTAAAAAAAATTAAAATGTGTCTACTTAATGATATACCCAACCCACTATTTAAGTGCTGCCATTTCAGAATCATCCCAGGTTCTGGGGTGTCCAGACCAAAACCTGAGTCCTAGGGATGTCTTCTGGTGATGTCATTAAGCATTAGAAATGAAATAGCAGTCATAGGGGCTCACAACTTGTCACTCAAAACGCACATGTACATACACACATAGAAAAAAAATCCTGTTTTGAAATTAAGACATGTTAGTTAAAGGGGGCTTAGCTGAAGATGATGTAAAGCAGGCATAGGCAAACTTTGGCCCTCCTGGTGTTTTGGACTTCAATTCCCACAATTCTTTACAGCTGGTAGGTAGGCTGTTAGGGATTGTGGGAGATGAAATCCAAAACACCTGAAGGGCCAAAGTTTGCCCATGCTTGATTTAAAAGGATTGTTCCCTCTCCTCTATATAGGGATAAGGAAAATTTACTCTTAACTAACTTGTCTCTTGCCAGAAGATAGCTGTAAATCAAATGGTGAGCCCTGGGTCTACAAGGACCGAGAGAGGAGGAAGCTAACTAAGACTCCATCTACACTAACCATTCAATGCAGATTCAAACTGGTATAAAAAAAACAGATTTTGCTGTGCTGGTGATTACAGAGGAGATCCTGGAACCAGTTTGAATCCCAGAAAATGATTACACATATCACAGAGCCCTGATCTCCATTGAGGGCTTCCTTTTATGCACTTTTGTGGGAGTTTGTTGTCTGGCTGCCACAGTTTGAAGCTAGCTTCGGACTGCATTAAATGGTCAGTGTAGATGGAGCTTAACTACTCAGACTTCCTAGCACATCTTTACAAGCTGCATCAACAAACTGAATAAGGCTTGCTCAGTTGTAGCAAGTTGCTGCTCATTAGCTGAGTTGGAGATTTACACCCAGCCCTCTTGCCCAGAGCTAAGGACCAAACCTTAACATCTAACAATCCTATTTACAACATGATTATAAAAGCAGAGTGAACACGACCCTAATTTAAAACTAAAGCAAATATATGCAGATCAAAACTTGTGTAACAACAGCCATTCATCTGAGGGAAGGAAAGCAGTTTTAATTTTTTATTTGGTTTTCATTTAATTTTTATTTTTTTAGCAATAGTCAATTATGTCAGATATATTAAAAATTAACTGGGTATTTTTTATTACAAAAGTGTGAGTCAAGCACTGAATGATTTAGTAGGCCGAAGCCTGTTAGAGTCAGTGGGCCAAAGCTAGTGTTATCCTGAAGAGGGTAGGCCGATGCCTGTTAAAGTTAGTGGGCCAAAGCTAGTGTCATTCTGAGGAGTGTGAGGTAAACCTCAGTGTGAGAGAAACCTCAAGTGTGACAGATGCTGTGTGTAAAGCTACTGTATATTTATTTGTGTTATGGAAACCTAGTGCTTGTAAATAGTGCAACCATATTATTTTACTACAAAGAAAAGATGTGTCTTTTGTTCTTTTTATCACTTTGAGCTACTGGTGCTGAGTCACGCTGCTGCTAATAAATTACTCTGCTGTACATTTATGATGAGGGTATTTTGTTAATAAACCCACTCGCCCAACAAATTAGTTTTCAAAAATTTTCTTTAAAAGATTGAGTTTTGAAAGCTTTTAAAATCTCAACATACAATAATCTAAAATCTAAACATCTCACACCACTTGATCTATTTCTTCCTAGGACTGATAATGTCAGATTACGGAGTCTTAATTGGGTACTTTTTTGACTAATCTTTATTTTAAAAAATGTTAGGATCTTAACATGGTTTATAAACTACTTGTACAATAAAAAGGGACTGTCCCAAAAACAAACAAGGAAAAGTAAATTAAAATAATTTCATCCTAAATAAGAATTTCTGTAAGGACAAAGAGAGTATTCCTAAAATGTGTCTCACATTAATAACAGAGGAGGCCTTTGAGCTCAATTTCATTATTGTATTCCGCAAACAGATTTTTTTTCTCTGCAAGTCTTAAGAAGTTCATTTTTAGGCAGATTTCAAAGTGCTTGTTATAACCTTTTAAGACCTATGCAGCTTGGATCCAAACTCTCTAAAAACGTTTGTCTCTCTCTCTGTATGAGCCTGACTGAGTTCTAACATTTCCTAAGAAAGACCTCTCAGTCCCACCACCACCTGGTGAGGACGCAGGAGCTTCTTAGTGGCTGTCCCCAAATTAATGGCATTTCAGTCATTTCTCCTTTCCCCCCCCCCCCTTCCTATAAAAACAAATGGAATAGTATCTCTTGAATTGGTAATACTAGAAAGAATTTCCAACTTTCCAGTAAAATCATTAGGGCTGTTTGGAAAAAGCCATGACTGTTAAACTAATGTATATCTATAGTTTAGACATGCTCATTTGATTCTGAATTAAGTGGATGAGACTGAGGTCCCCATCACTGACAAATGCAAATCTTATGAAATTTTTCTTTTTTCTTTTTTTACACAGGGATTCCCAAGCCAGCTCCTTCTACAGCCATAGTTTTCCAACCTACAACTAATAGTCATTTCCTGTCTGCAGAAATTGCCATGCTTGATCCTTATAGTGCAACAAACCCTTCCCATGATTCGGATCATTTGCAGAAACCCACTTCTTCAAATAGGATGGAAACCTTGGATCACTCAGATAGGATTGATGGATATTCTCAACATCCAAAAGAGGAAATGGGAAATATTTCAGAGATTCCAGCATCACATAAAATTAACAACTTATTGCCACCAAGCACTGTTAGGACTGTTCAGCACACTGTTCCAATTACAGAGGCTCCAGTTAAGCTGCTAGTTGCTACCACTGGCAGTCAGACTGGTACTGATGCTGCTGTGAGTTCACATGTATCTCCTGGCCGTACAACAACTGCCAGGTCTGCAACAGCTTATCATGTAAATACACTTTTGGTAAATCCAAGAAGCCCCAGCGTTTTCAATCCATCAGTTGTTTCTGGATCTAGTGCTGGCAAGATCAGCCAGTTGCCATTCAGCCTATCCACAAAACATTTCTCTTCTTTCCAGTACAACCATCTTAATAATGAACAGGAAAATAAAAACGGTGATAAGCCTGATGGAGGCGCAAGCAAAAAGCACCACCTTTTCTCTGGTGACCAAAGTATACTTTTTGCTGCATTGCTTTTGGGGGTGATATTCTTGCTCTTGGTTACAGTGCTGGTAGGGAGAAGGATGCTTGAATCCCTTCAGCAAAGGCAATACACTAGGCTAGACTACTTGATCAATGGTATGTATGCCAGCGTGTGATACAACCTGCGAGACATTGATGGGTTAAATTTGTCATCGAGGTCATACTCTCTTTCTTAAAGCCTAAACTTTATGCTAAGGACATTTTGATGTTTAGTTTTGTCTCATGACATCTTTATTTGTACTTATATTGCGAGCAGGTGTATCTTCTGCTTCCTTTCTCAGGAATATGTGAAAGTTTGGAATGCTGTCATAGTGACATGATGTGCAATGTTTACATTCAGGTCATATGGAGTTGCTTGTCTATGCAGTTAGTATAATGGCCAGAGAGGCAATCTAACTATGGTCTGTGAAAATTCTGTCACAAAGGGAGTCATTAGTCTGCTGAAGTAGAATGAAAATGTGAGATGGACAATGCAGAAACAAAAAAAAAATATTTCCGTCTATCTGCCTGATGTATGGTGGGTATGCTTACAGAGTAACAGATGGCCACAATCCAGCTGTTAATCTCAGCAGAAATAAATTCATTCGAATCAGTAGTTGAATGTAAGGTAAAATTTATATTAAATCTCTTAGCTGAATGTAAGGTAAAATTTATATTAAATCTCTTTTTGGCCTAAATTGGGTTTAGGCCAAAAACCATGGTTTTGACTATGAGAAAAGCATCTTAACACAGCACACAGTATTTATTTAGATCAAATAATATATGTAACCACATTACATTTCCCCCACACCAAACAAAGTGTGGTGTTGACATATGCCCAAGTCAAGTGGAGACCCAGGTCAAAAAACACAACTGGAAAGAACAACGCATTGTTGTGTTGCTGCCATTATTGTGTATTTTCCTGATTTTACTCTTGTGTTTTTCCTTGCAGCAGGAAAGACACAGAGGTACAACTAGGATCAGATTTAAGAGCTCCACAATCTCTTCCTCTAATCAAATGCCATCTGTGGCAGGCAAGGGGGAAGATGCCAAAGATGTGGATTAGTCCCTGGGCTGGCACAGATATCTTGATGCCCACCAGGTTTGCTGCTTCTGTTTTTAAAAAAACATAGCCTGGACTCTTTTGTTCTCTTAAACACAATTGTTACCTATGACAAAGTAGTGCCAAAGCAGACTACATTGTATTCCTAGGAGTCATTAGGATGCTGTGTGTTAGGTGAATTCAAAATGAAATATTACATATTTTCAGAAACTGTCTTTCTCCTTTAAAAATCAGGTTTGGCAAACAGGTTTAAATTTTTGTTTATCACTATAATATATCATGAATGTAGAAACATTTGTTAAACTGCTGGTGTGGGTGGAGTAGGTGGATGAGAATGCATTAGCTGTGTGTTTCACAACTGTCATAATACATGTGGTCCTCTATAGTGATATAAGAAGTAAGGGATTGTGTCAGTTTGGTCAAATTACCCGGCTGCAGCCCGGAAACATGTAGCCGAATGGTGCCAGGCATGGGACAAATGATATAGGATGTTATTAAAGGTGAGGGAGGAACATGATCGGGGCTGCCTTTTAGCACTTGCCCCTTACAAGTTCAATCCTTTAATGTTATATAAAATACTTGAATTAGTATTTATTCATATGCCTGTTTCTTCATTTCCTCTATGGCAATTATGGGTCCATCTTAATTGGTTTATAATTAACATCAATCTGGATGATCTGGGATCCTGATTTTTTAAATATGGAATGTGTGTTCTGTACTAATTTGATTTTTTTTTCATTAGTAAAATATTAGTTTCTCCTGTAGGTGAGGTATAACCTGTATCCTGGCAGATGGTATTTGAATGCAACTCCCATCATTCTTGAATTTAAGAACTTGTGCCTGATATTTCTCTCCCCACCTTCCTCCTCCATTTTTTCTTTGTGTGTTCTTTGTGGGTTGCAAGCCAAATTGACTGTAAGCAGAAATAGTTTTACTACTGATGTGCATTTGCTATTGTCCTAGGAACATTTTCTATATGCTGCAAAAAAATTTAAATTAAAAAATCATTTATACATTCTGTACTTCTTTCTGTTACATGTTGAGTGAAATGGTGGTGTTTTGTATGTGAAGAAACATTTCTACATTCTCACTTTGAAAGGAAGTACATTGAGGAGACTGCAAATTTGTTTTCTACTGGTAGAGATTAGAACATGGAGCAAAGGATTCAAATTGGAAGAAAAGAGGTTCCACTCAAAATTAAGACCTTCCTGACAGGTTAAAAAGAAGAGACACAAGGATCATATTATAAATTTAAGTTGGATAATGGAGCACATAAAAGAAGTTCAGGAAAAAAAATCTGTGTTTTGTTTTTAACAGATTACAAGCTTTTGATTGTGTAGGTCACAAAAAGCTATGACTTGCTCTTAAGGAAATGGGTGTGCCACATTTAACTGTCCTGTTGCTCTGGACAAGAGGTTACTGTTAGAAGAAAATACAGAGAAATTGAATAGTACCCAATTGGCTAGCTGCCTTTCTATCACCCTGTCTCTAATTCAAGGAATACAACAATATCAAATCATATAGCAAGTAGTATTAGATGCATTACGAAAGAGCTGTGGAAGTTGCAGAAAGAAACACAAACAATTTCAGACATACAGGTGATAGATGCCATGTTATTGTCAGAAAAACAGCAAAGACTAGGAATGTGTAGGTTTTTTTCATGTCACAAGCAACTTGAGAAACTGCAAGTCACTTCTGGTGTGAGAGAATTGACTGTCTTCAAGGACATTGCCCAGGGGATCCCTGGATGTTTTACCATCCTGTGAGAGGCTTCTGTCATGTCCCCGCATGGGAACCTGGAGCTGACAAGATGGGAGCTCACCCCATCTCGCGGATTTGAACTGCCGACCTTCAGATCAGCAGTTCAGCCGGCACAAAGGTTTAGCCCATTGCGCCACTGCAGGTCTGGTGTTTTGTTTGTTTGGAATGTTTAGTGATATTAAAAAAACCCCAAAAATAATGGCCACAGATACTTTGAGATTATGTGATTCATAGGAAAAGACAACATTGTTTGGTAAAACGGGAGATAGTAGAAAATATAATCAAATTATAGGTGGATTGATTTAATCAAATAAGTGATGACCCTAAATATGCAAAACCTGAGCAGGAAGTGAGTGACGGGGGCTCCTGCAGATTGCCACATCGACCTTGAGTCATCACCCTGCCCCAAACCCTATCAGTATTTTCTGTTGGACATGTGTGCCAAGTTTGGTTCAGATCCATTGTCGGCTGGGTTCAAAATGCTCTCTGGATGTTGGTGAACTATAACTGCAAATCCCATACAATCACCCCCAAACCCCTCCATTATTTTCTGTTGGTCGTGCGGGTCTGTGTGCCATATTTGGTCCATATCTACTGTTGATGGGAGTTACAATAGACAAGTTTTCTGGAAGTGGGGAATTATCTTGATCATTCTCAACATTTTTCATGCTATACTGGAATGCTTAGTTTGCTGCCTCAAGTGACTGTAAATATACTGCTGCCTCTCATTTTTGTCCTGAATAGGCTGACCATATCTCCAGGTCCCATGTTACTGAGTGTGCCATGTATCTGAAATGGACCCGCATGCACATCCATGTTGGTCCCATCATGATCCATTCACATACATGTATGCAATCCATATCCTCCCCCCCTCCCCCAAGATGCTATTAACCCTTCTCTCCCTGCACAGTTTGCAGACAAATTCTTCTTGAACTTTTCATGGTAAATCTGATTTTTTATTTCAATTTATTTAGGCTTATGAAGTCAACTTAATTTTTTAGAATCAAAATTTGAAGGGAAGTATTTCTGAAAGTAAAAAGGGCAATCCAGGAAAATCTGCATTTGCAAGGCTTGGCAGACTGATTTTCTGGCTTCCTTCCCCCAAGGAAGCCTGTAAGAGAGGAAGATGCCAGAGGAAGATGCCAGAGGAAGATGCCAGAGGAAGAGAGGGTGGAAGGGATGACAAGAAGGGAGGAGAAAGCAGAAAAGGAGAACAGGAGGAGAAAGAGCTAGGGATGTCTTTGTAGCAGAAGAAACAAAAGCCAGCTCTTTGCCTCTCTCCCTTTCTGCCCCTGTGAGAAAAAGGCTCTGGAGGGGGAGAGGAAAGGCAGGAATTTGATGAGGTCTGAGTCACTGATAAGGAAAAGAGGGATGGGGAAAGTGGAGGGGAGGGAGAGGAAGAAAGAGACCCACAGTTTAAGAAGCTTTAGTCAGGTGATTGTACCAAAGGTGTGTGTCCTTACATACAAGGCAAACAACTATTCTAGAATCTGTTACTGGACAAAGAGCAAACATTTTTTAAAAAACATTGGAATGTATTATGCTGCCTCACCAGTCATCCTGGCATGTTGCAAAATCACAGAACTAGAAGTTTCACAATCAAAATAGAAATCATAGGAAAAATGGAAGCTATTGAAAAACATGATCCTAGGATGTGTTTGGGAAAAAGCTTTCAAGTGGTCTCTTGGGGCCCTTCCACACAGCCCTATAACCCAGAATATCAAGGCAGAAAATCCCATAATATCTGCTTTGAACTGGGATATCCGAGTCCACACTGCCATATATTCCAGTTCAAAGCAGATAATGTGGGATTTTATTTAGCTGTGTAGAAGGGGCCTTGAAGATTCAAAATGTTTTAGTTTTTTCTCTCTCTACTATAAGACCTGACCTGTTACTTTCATATGTGCATAATGTTTTTCTTGAATAAAGAGTTTCCGGTTGAACTGCTCTTTCTTGTGATGTAGGAACCTTTCACTATTCTTCCCATGTCATTTCTGCACTGCTACCAGAGTTTCTGTTAAAAACGTAAAGGTCCAGAACATCTACTTTCCACACAGCCATCTAACCCAGAATATCAAGGCAGATAATCCATAAGTAGATAATCCACAAGTAGAGACATCACACTGGCAACGAAGATTCGCATAGTTAAAGACATGGTATTCCCCGTAGTAACCTACGGATGTGGGAGCTGGACCATAAGGAAGGCTGAGCAAAGGATGACAAACACTTTGGAACTGTGGTGTTGGAAGATAATTTTGAGAGTGCCTTGGACCGCGAGAAGATCCAACCAGTCCATACTTCAGGAAATAAAGCCCGACTGCTCATTGGAGGAAAGGGGATAGTAGAGGCCAGGATGAAGTACTTTGGCCACATCATGAAAAGATAGGAAAGCTTGGAGAAGACAATTATACTGGGGAAAATGGAAGGAAAAAGGAAGAGGGGCCGACCAAGGGCAAGATGGATGGATGGCATCCTTGAAGTGACTATATT